AAATGGTTTTTGAACAGAATGGTTTATTGAGCTGTCTAACTCTACAAGGAAATGACTTATAAACACTGGACTGCTCTTTTTTGATATTTGAGAAAGATACTTTGATAGAAGATGATTCTAAAATATAATTACTTGGTCTTTTAGTTCTATCTTTATTATCACAGGAAACTATGGAGTATTTTTTTTCTTTTAGATTACAAATTCATTTACAAAGCAGCTTGTAATGAACAATTTAATTAGATTGGTTTCAGCCTGCCTAAAATCTTAAGAAGGTATTAATATTGTAATCAGAAACATGGGGGAAATATTTTTAGAATGAAAAGAAAGAAAATCCTCCTTTTAATGCTTATTTTGAGGACTCGGGACACTGTGAAGGAGTACAAGGTAATTCCTAAAAAATAAGCAGTGACTAAAGGTAGCTTGGCAACAATAAGCAAATTCCTATGTTTGCAGCAGACTGAAGGTTCCTGGTGACTCGGGGTAAATTTGTTCAGCTGCTTAAGACTATTTTTATCCATACTTCTGAATAACGACAGCTTGAAATTTTTAGCCTTTTAACAGTAACATAAAGAGGTTTGCCAATGATAAACCATTTTTTAAAAATCTCATGGTTTCCTTACCAATGGCCATTCTGAGTAAATGCCTGATTTGTGTTCAAAAAATAATAGTAAGGTTCAAATAAAACGTATCTACACTTGCTATCTGAAAGATACATCCAGTACTTTCACATTATCTCATTTACTTCCCACAATTATCATGTACAATAAGAATCACTATTCTCTTCTTACAGATGAGGAAACTGAGGCTCACATTCAGAGAAATGGAGTGACTTACTCAGAGCCACATATATTAACAAGTGGTACAGGACAGTTCGATTAGAAATTTTTCGACTCCAAACTCATCTTCTTTCCCCAAAGGGAAATGGTGCTACAGAATTCATGTAAATCACAGAGCCTACATAAAAGTTACAGCAAGACCCAGAAATAGGAAAAAATGGGAAGAGGTAGATCTTCCTGGTGGCTCTTTAAAATTATTGTTAAATACATAAAAACAAAAACAATACGTATTACTGAGGTACTATGTAATGTTTCAATATATGTATCCATTTTGAAATGTTTACATCAAGTGAAATATGTATGCCTCCTCAAATATTTTTCATTTCTTTAAGGTGAAAACATTCAAAATCCTTTCTTCTGGCTTTTTGAGATTATATAATACATGATCATTATTTTATCACCCTACTGTGCAATGAAACACTAGAACTTCTTCCTCCTGTCTGTTACTTGGCACTCAGGGACTCCTGTGTTTTTCCTGGGCTCTACCTGCCCCTAATCCTCCTAGAAAGAGAAGTAAGATGTAACTGAAATAGAATGTTTTCTAGGCCTCAGAATTACGGCTCAGAACATCTTTCTCTGCAGCATCTCACCAAAACTCCATTCTTCAGCTTCAAAAAGAAAGGATCCCCATGGTTTCCCACTAGTTTGTTGTCCGTCTAAAGCAGCTGGCAATCATCAGAGATCCACCTTTTCCTCTTTCCTAAGAACCATGTTTCTCTGGGGAAGCTCGTAGTGGCAGCAGAATGCCCCATGTCATCCTCATATTCAGAAATCCCCAGTGCACATTCACCCCAACACCTCCAAAAGAGTTAGGCAACATCTGTAAACTTACAGGAGCAGTTTCCCAGTGATGATGCTGCAGATGTTGCTGAGAAGGGGACATTTCAAGGGAAGTCTCTGCTCCACCTTGGCTAGCCAGCTGCCTGCCTTCATATTTTTACCATTCTGTTTCCCATGCACCCCCTGGAATCTAAGTGCTTTCTTTTATTCCTTTCCCCTTCCTGAACCCTACCACTCCATACTTTCCACTACACTTAATCAATGACAATGACAAAATATTTACATGCCTAGTATAACCAGGTGTGGCACAACCTTCAATACAGGAGAGAGAATTCAGTCTTTAAGGCTTTTGCCTCCCACAGCTAGACTTGAACACCACAAAGGAAAAGAGTGACTGTGGCTTTTGTCGTTTTCCATCCTTGATACCTGCACACAGTAGACGTTCAGTGGCCACGTGATAGATGAATGCCTGCTGCATATGCTATTTGCATTTCTGCTTCCCTATTCTTTCTCTCTTTCCATCCCCTACCATTCATCTCCCTGTTTCCTCCACTCTTAAGTATGAGAAAGTGTGTTTCCTTATTAGGCAGGCAGTCTTAGTCATTCTACAAATGCTTAGGCAAAATGTTCTTCTGATTAGTACATTCAACACTATGTCCAGATTCTCAAGTGATACACTCATTAAAATGATAAATACCTCACTATAGTTTTCAGGGATGCTTTCCCACCTGGTTCAGAGCAACCTATTACATATTAAACAGTAGTCATTGTGAATTGGTGGGAATGGAAGAAGAGACTGACCTCAGCTTGGAACAAGTTGGAGTTCAAAACTATTCTTGTAAGTTGGGCTCTCAAATGCAAACTTTTCCCCATTCTATTCCATTATGAATGCTCATTACAGTTTCAGACTAGTCACTAAAATTCTACTCACTCCAAATATAGGATTAATGGAACCAACCTGATTGTGTACCCACAAAATAGGATCAAAAGGGAAAAGAGGGAAGAAAGGAAAATCTCCTCCCTGCTTTGGTATTCTAATATAGCCGTTGTATTTCTTCCTATTTTTAGTGTCCTTATGCTCAAGCAGAACCAAAGATTTACCTCTGCACCAGTTTTCAGTTTTGGCATTCAACCAGGCCCTTTTCAACCTTTAAGTTTCCTTAACTTTGGAAATGCTAATTTTTTTTTTCCTAAACAAAATCCAGCTGATCAAAACTAGATGTTAGAAGAATAACAAATAGGCACATTAATCCATATTAAGACATGAATGACTTTTAGCCTGTAAACCTTTCATGAAATAATTAACTTGTAATGCAGAATATTTATCTAATGAAATTATACTTCTATATTGGCATAAGTTCAATAACTAATAAAATGAGTGGAAAAGTCAACAAGGCATAGGAAAGTCCTTCTAAGTGAGAAAGAACTAGCCATATCTCCTAAAAGCCTAGTCCTAGGTTTTATTAAATTAGTCCATCTTTTCATCTTCTGTCTTCTCACCCACACATTTGTAAAAGCACCAAAGGGTTGTTTTGCCTGTTTGTTTTGCTTTTGTTTTCTTATTTATAGTGAGGCTAAAGTTGACACAGGGTAGTTATACTAGGCTCTATAAAAGAGCAGGCTGTAAATTAGTTTCATAAGCCTCATAGAAGTCAGTCTCAATATTCTGCATAGCATTGAAGTTACTTATTGTCACTCATCCATTTGACCACACACTCTCATTCCCAAGACCTTTGTCATCTGCCTCCTGGTATGTTCCAGTAGTAAACAGGATGATTCAAATTGGCCTCCCTTCAAGCAGCTGACAGACCAGTGAGGAAGACAGATATATCAAGACAAAGTATCACAAAAGCTGAAAGGGCTTTCCACAGAATGTAACATGTGACATTAATGTTCCCATGAGCAAAAAGAGAAGAAAAAGATTTGGGTTGTATACAGTTGAGTGCAAAATGAAAAGATAATGAGACCATGGAACCAAATACTTGGATAGGAAGAATAACATTACTTGCGTGGCGAAGGCATCTGCAGTCTCCTTCCCAGGATGGACTTCCTGATGGACGCAGATGGCAGAAAATGTGTTCGTTTTCAAATCACATAAATGATCAGTTTGATTTTTGATTATGTAAAATATTGGAGCAAATATTTGCAGAAATCCTTGTAGAGCCCTTGCCTGAGCATGTGACACTTCCTAAAATCCTGAAGAACTGCTGCTATTTCAAGCCCTCCCCAAAGACAAGCCTTATTGATTATCTTGGCTTAATCTGGCATTTGACAGCCTGGCTACACAAATGGTTAACTTCAGAGTTAACTCCAGATGTGGCTAGCCGGAATGAAATTGAGAGGTTCAGAGATTTTTACCAGATGGAGTTGAAGTTAAAGAATAAGCAATTACTGCCTATAGAGGCCAGGAAAATCATGGCAAAAATGCTATTTTCCAAAATACTGAGCCCTTCCTCTTACCTGCTTTAAATCTATTCCCACAATGCCAATTTCTCAGTAACCTAAAAGCACTTATTGTCACTATTTAAGGGGTAATGCTAAAAATTTCTACACCTAAATGGAGTGTGAGATGAAATAAGTGGTTTAAATAATAAGATACAGATGTATCATACTTCTAATGTTAAAGATAAATTAACATCACTTACCTCAGGAATAACTTTCAAGTTGTTTGAATAACTAATTTAATTCAGCAGTGGTTTTCAATATTTAGATTATGCTTTGAATCTACTGGAAAGGTAGAGTTTACTTACAGAAAAAAATGAAAAAGGACCTAGACAGTTTTCTTCATATAGCATGCCACTTTTATTTATCTGGAAGACATTTATCATTTCCTTTATAGACACTATGTTCTAAAAATTATATGTATTATATGTGTGATTTTTTTTGCAGTACTTTTGATTAAACTTAGGACATTGAACAGAACTACATCCCCTGGTCTTTTTTTTTTAATTTGCGACAGGGTCTTGCTGTGTAGTTTAGACTGGCTTTGAACTCACTATATAGCCTAAGCTAGTCTCAAACTTGCAGTGATCCTCCTGCCTCAGCTGCTCGAGTGCTGGGATCACAGGCATGCACCACCATGCCCAGCTATTTTTTTATTTTTGAGGCAGAATCTCATTAAGTTTCCAAGGTTGGGCCAGAATTTATAAGCATCCTGACTCAGAGTCCTGGGGTAGGTGCACTCCACTACACCTAGCTTATAATTTTAGACTATAAATTCACAATGTTTCTTCAGAAAATGTAATCTAAATTTTTTTCTTAAGACTAAACATGAGTAAAAAAAAAAAAGACTAAACATGAGTTACTGGATTTAAGATTGAGCAGTTTACTGTTTACAAGTGGGAGTCTAGATATTTTACCTTTTTATTTTTATCTTTTTTCCAGGATCATTTGGTGTAGTGCCTGAGATTAATTCGACTCAGGAGATCAAAATGATCCTCAACTCTTCTACCGAAGATGGTATTAAAAGAATCCAAGATGACTGCCCCAAAGCTGGAAGGCACAGTTACATATTTGTCATGATCCCCACGTTATACAGTATCATCTTTGTGGTGGGAATATTTGGAAACAGCTTGGTGGTGATTGTCATTTACTTTTACATGAAACTGAAGACTGTGGCCAGTGTTTTTCTTTTGAATTTAGCACTGGCTGATATATGCTTTCTGCTAACTTTGCCACTGTGGGCTGTCTACACTGCTATGGAATACCGCTGGCCCTTCGGCAATTACCTGTGTAAAATCGCTTCGGCTAGCGTCAGTTTCAACCTGTATGCCAGTGTGTTTCTCCTCACCTGTCTCAGCATCGATCGCTACCTGGCTATTGTTCACCCGATGAAGTCACGTCTTCGACGCACAATGCTTGTTGCCAAAGTTACTTGCATCATAATTTGGCTGTTGGCTGGCTTGGCCAGTTTGCCAGTTATTATTCACAGAAATGTATTTTTCATCGAGAACACCAACATCACAGTTTGTGCTTTCCATTATGAATCCCAAAATTCAACCCTCCCCATAGGCCTAGGCCTGACCAAAAATATACTGGGTTTCATGTTTCCTTTTCTGATCATCCTTACAAGTTATACTCTGATTTGGAAGGCCCTAAAGAAGGCTTATGAAATTCAGAAGAACAAGCCAAGAAATGATGATATTTTTAAGATAATTATGGCAATTGTTCTGTTCTTTTTCTTTTCCTGGGTTCCCCACCAAATATTCACCTTTTTGGATGTATTGATCCAGCTGGGCATTATACATGACTGCAAAATTTCAGATATTGTGGACACCGCCATGCCCATTACCATTTGCATAGCTTATTTTAACAATTGCCTTAACCCTCTTTTTTATGGCTTTCTGGGGAAAAAATTTAAAAAATATTTTCTCCAGCTTCTGAAATACATTCCCCCAAAGGCCAAATCCCACTCAAACCTATCAACAAAAATGAGCACACTTTCTTACCGCCCCTCAGATAATGTAAGCTCATCTGCCAAGAAGCCAATGCAGTGTTTTGAGGTGGAGTGACATGTTCAAAACCTGTCTGTAAAGTAATCTTGTGAAGGAAGGAGCCGGAAAAACATTCCTCGACAGTGCTTCACTACCAAAGGAGCATTAGCTACTTTTCAGAAGTTAAGTGGACTGTAGCTACTTTCCTAAAGCTCTGAACAAAAGATTTGCTTTCCCTTTTCAACAACAACAACACCAATAACAAAGAGCCACATTTTGCATTAAATAGTTGATGGCTGCTCAAGAATGTCAGAAACTGGATGATTGTGTCGATTTGGAAAATTTTACTGGCAGAAATGGAATCTCCCCATTTTTCTCTTGTTCCATTATTTTTGACTTCCACATAAAGGTGTTTAGAATATGTTAAATCTCCAGACAAGCAACAGGAGATCAGAGCTCAGAATTGTTCTGCCCAGTTTCCAATGGGAATAAAGCTTTTGTGTCTGCTTAGCTTTTACCAACTGTGACCCCACTTGTACCTGCTTCTACGCATTTTATACAAAGACTCACGAAGCAGGAATCGCTATATTTCAGAACCTTTTGTGAAATTTGGCCAGAGTCCTAAAAACTCACACTGCCAAAACATTGCCAGCAAAGTGGCTTGTTTGTATAATGGTGTTACTAACATCACACATAAAAGTTAAACTACTTGTAAAGCAGTTACTCTGTCCCAGGTCTGTCTTCCTAGTCATATTAATTTTATTTCATAGCTGAGAAGTGTATATAGTTTGTGGTAAAAAGATTATATATCATTAATAATGCTTTACTGTTTTTTAAAAGGCATATATTCTACACATATATGTGTACATATATCCATGTCTCTGAACTGTTGTTATTTGATTACAATCTGGCAGTTATATTTACCTTGAAATAAAGTAATTTTATTGTTATGTATCTAACCTTCATTCCTTAAAATAGATGATGATTTATTTTATTCAATTGTAAATTTGAACATATTTTCATTTAAAGTTTAATACAACTAATAGTTTAATATTATTAGTTATAAGGTGGGGGATTATTTCAGTGATTCTGCCACTTGCCTCGCAAGCACAAGGACCCGAGTTCGATCCCCGGTACCAAAAAAATATATATATATTATTAGTTATAGATTTTTATATCATCTCATCATTGAAAAGATAAAGAGGAAAACATTACATGGAATACACATACCATTTTAAATTTTCCAAAGTTTCTCATGTAACAGGAAAAGAATTCTCATTCCCTATAACTCTAAAATAATGTTATTTTACTCATATTTTCAAAATAATAGGATATTCTAATTTTATAATCATTGTAGGAAATTTAGAAGATATAGAAAAGTATAAAAAATAAAAGTTATATTTAGTTCTCCAACTCAAAAATGATCGCTGTAACATTTAATTCATTTCCTTCTACTTTTTTGTATTCATTATACACATGTACATATAGAAATTATGACACTGAATCATAATGTAGATAGATCTTGGTATATAGACTTTTCACTTAGCATCATAGCATCCTAGTCTCCTACTGCATTAAATATTTTTCTAAAACATTTTAATTTCTGTACAATGTTACAAAATTCAGACATATCCTAATATTGTTAGCCAGTCATTGAATTGGAACACTTAGGTTTTTGCTAATTTTTTCAGTATCATAAAAGCAAGCCCCAGGAAATTCCAGATATTTGCTATAAAGGATGGGATCCCTGAGGGCTGAGAAGAAAGTAAATCAGAAGAAAGTGAGATAGAAGACTGAGCAGCAGACAGGAGGCTGCCTGACACACTGGGGTGCAGACTTTCAGGGTAAAGTACCCTGCTGTTTCCTGAATTATTGTAATATGCTTTGCACCATGAAATCTTAGAAGAAGAAAGGAGGACCCTATGTCACTGAGGGCCAAAATACATAGCCTGCATGCTGTCTGGACTTCCCGACAGACAGGGACCTGGGTCCTCTCTGCATGTCACAGGGCAGCAGTCACAACATCCACCCTGTCTGGAGCCATGACAGAGCATTCATTCATCAAGCCAACCCATCTGACTTGAGAAATGTTGTACCTGAGGTTTAAAAAAAATAAATTTCTACCATCAGAAAGAGCCAGTATTAGAAATCCGACTAGCCTGGGTTTTTTTCCATAAAGATTTTGCTTTTTTTTTCATGCAGCTTACAATGAGAGAATTTAGCTTTCATAATATTTATTTCTAACTCATTCATACACAAGCTTTAGATAAATAAATCTCTAAGAGTTTAAAGACCTTAAGATTTACCCTTCAAGCAATGTGATAGGAAAATATTTATCTATACACACAAGAGATGTAAATTTGATGAATAAATGATGTTAATTCTGAAACTATTAAAAGTGAGTTTGCTATTATGATTGCTTTGCTTCAAGAATCCAAATGATGATGAGGCATTTATGCCCCCGGGCCATGACATATAAAGCTTCTTTTGAAGAACTAAACAAGATGACTGATAGAGAGTTTGGCTGAACCTCCCAGTGAATTGGGATATATCTCATGGAACTTCTTTTCCAAGCCTGATGAAGTTCTGCTATGCCATATGGGCACATACACTTGCTAAATGATAATTTCCCACAAATAAACAAATAAGCTTCAGTCCTCCAGAATGCAGGCAGATAGAAAGCTGACTGGTGTCTGCCAATAAGGAGAAGCCCTGGGAGGGTTCTGCATAGAGAGGAGAGCATCCTGTACACAGACTGCTGCGCAGACCTGCTGCGAATCAGCTAGCACTCTGTGACATAAGAACCCCCAGATGTGCATCCCTTTTGACTGGTAGCTTCCTCCTAGCCATTGCTGCTGCAGAGAAGTTTCCAAGGAGTTCTGACTCCACACAAAGCAAAGTATATCAGCCAGAGAATATACAGGCAATTCGCTAAATAAGCAACTACTATTCTCATTCATTCACATACATAGTGGGTAATGGGGATAAAGAACCTCTCCACTGACCACACTTTCTTGAGTCCCCTTATCCACTCTACTTTCTTTGAGAAATACACCCTATTTCCATTTGTGTGAGCACTTTTAATGAAGAATTTGGATAGAGCTCCCCCTGCCCCACGCTGCCAACACACCCAGTGGAAGATGTGAGAAGACCTAACTAAATCAGCCCAGCGTGTGCCTATGGCTGCAGGAGGATAGGTATATGACCCAAATGAACCTGATCATAGTAAATTTGCGACTTTCTAGGAGCTACTGGACAAAATGTTCATTCTTTTTCATGTGGAGTCTAAATGGATGTGAGGAGCTGTTAGAGCCATTTTGTCACTCTAATGGGAGGTACAGGAAGTTCCAGGATTTCTAACAGCATAAGAATACAACCAAAGTGATTTTTTTAAAAAGTGGTTTAAAAAAAATGGACAAAGAAATGGAGAAGAACCAAGGCTTTATGACCTAAGTGGAAAGTGACTTTCTATGCCAGCAACTAAAACTACCCTCTAGACCTCTCTTTTTTTCCAAGCCAGACTTCTTTCTCTTTCTTTCTCAACCCAGTTGATGATGGGTTTCCTATCAACACTGTCCACTACAATCCAATTTTCTGTGAAATTATTATGGCTATCATTCATCAGATTCTTACTGCAGAATAAGGATAGGATTCTCTCTACTTACATGCATTATATTATTTAGTACTCATAACAACCATTCCTGTCAGTTCTGTTATTACACAGTGACACAGAAGAAATTGGTCCTGTGTAATGTAACGGAGATCTTGGAGTTGAATTAAAATTTTAACCCAGGCATTTTGACTCCAGAATCTGCCCTCTTATTTTCTAAGCTATATTACTCTTCTTTGCACCCTTCCTCAAAAAAAATACAAACTATGAATCATGTAAGGCATTTCCAAAATATTGTCTATGCCTATTTGTTTAAAATTAATATAATATTAATTTTATATAATTATTTTATAATTATAATTATTTAATATTAATATAATATTAATTTTACTTAGGACCACATTTTCTGGATTCCAAGCTAGAATTACAATAGTCTTTGTCCATGAAAATTGGGCCCACTAATGGAAAGCATTAATTGACCTTACACAGCATAACACTTGATTTTATGTTTATTGTAATTTGATTTTGGATGAGTTTATATTGGGTCTAGCAAAGAACCAAGCTACAACTGTTAACTGTCACAGTAATTCATTAAATGCTCCTATCCTTTCTGCAGCCAAGAATTTAGATAGCATTCACTAAATGGGAGAGAAAAGGAAATTCCTAAATTAATTTTCATGTCAAGTTTTTCCTTCTTACAGCCTAATGGAGTGATAAAAAATATTATAGAGAGATGCCATTATATTCTGAGAAAGATTTCCTTTTAAAGTATACAGTTTGGATTTGGCAATAGATTTAGGTGAAAAATAAATTCGAAATAATGAAAACAAGTGTAATTTATGTCACTTGTGCAAGGAGACCTGAAGGATAATGGTGGTAAGATCAAACCCATGAGGCCAGGGAACAATTCCAGCAGCATCATTGAAAACAATCCCAAAATAGATGGTATTCAAGACAGAGTGAGGCTTAAAAAAAAAAGTCACAACATTACAAGCAAAACATACTCACTGTTGCACCTTTCACTTCTAGTTGTAGAGCAGACAGAAAGGAGCAATTGCACAAGAAACTTTTAAAAACAAGCCATTTGGCCACAGGCTGAGGGAATGACCATGACATGATAAAATCAAAGCCCAAGATGAATCAGAAAATAGTGATGCAGACTATCACGAGGGAAAGTTAGGCAAAGAAACAGATCTGTGATTCCTGGCAGAAAGTGTGCCCCTCAGGGGATACTTGGCAATCTCTGGACATACGCTCGTTGTCACAACTTGAGTGAGAATGTTACTGGCATCTAATGTATAGATCTTAAGGGGTGCTGCAACCCGCATGAGGAACTGTGTTGTCCAAAATGTCAATAGTGCCAAGGCTGAGAATCCCTGAGGGAGAGAAAGAAAGGAAAAATACCACTTGAACCATATGAATTGTCTGCAGGGCATTGTGTTAAGTAACAAAGTGCTGATCTCCTGATTTTTATAACCCATAAAGTGCTTCTTCCCCCTCTGTTTTTTCTGTGCTAGTCACTGCAAATTGCATTGCACATGAACTTCATCCAAATAACCTACTTTATGGGAAAACACAGTTGTTTTTAAAAAATGTAATTTCTTGGACTAAGTAGGCAAATATATTAATTTTACCCTAAAAGTGGTACATTTTAGTCACTCGTGAATGTTAGGAACAAAGGCAGCAGGTAGCATGATATAAATAAATGGTTAAACCCTCACTTCCATAGGAGACAAAAGAGAAGGTGTGGCTCCCACTGAGCAGCTAATACTCAGAGAAGACACAAGGTGCAGAAATAAAAGGCAAGCATGTGGTGCTGCTAGCAGCTGCATCAGGATTCTCCACAGTATCTTAGCATTTGATGTGATTCTGATGAAAATCTTTATTGAACAAAACCAAAGGTTTATTTTAGTCTTATTCTCCAATATTTCCATAGAAGATTTAAATGGCTTTCAATGAAGAACACATTAAAACAAAGTAGTACAAAACAAGTCAGAAAAATCACAGAAAGGCCAAAACAAAACCACTGACTGCAGGCAAAAAAAATAAAAAATAAAAAAATATATGTGTGTGTGTGTGTGTGTATGTGTGTGTGTGTGTGTGTGTGTGTGTATAAACTCTTGGTTTCTGAGCCTCTTGTAGCTGGGATGAAATGACAGCATCATAACATCTCCAAATCTTATCAAAGGAAAAGCAGATTAGGTCCCCAAATGGAGGGATCTGCTTGATGCAGAATCCCTAAGGAAATTTCTCACATGGGATCATGGATGGAGACAGTATCACATAATGGACTATTTTTAAGCAAAGGTTTTTTTTTTAACTTAACCCTGACTCAGATGTGATTCTTTT